TACTCTAAACCTTCTTTCTGGGTGGTCATTTCCCCATATTTGGAAAACAAAACCAAAAAATCCCTTGTCAACCTTATCATAAGGACTTTCAGAATACACATTCCACCTAACCCTGAAAACCACATGTAAACACATCAGAAAATAAGATTAGAGAAACTAAAAGGAAAGTTCAATTCAGATTACTATTCAAAGCAAATTTGAAAACATTTATGGCATGGCAGCCTTAGACAGAGCTAGAGTCACCATTTTAGAACAAATGTGTATTTAATCAGAAACAAAAAACCCTACTCCTTCTGATAAGTGATGCCTCTATGCCACTGATAATCAGACTGCTATGAAAACATTATGGCAAGTCTTCTGGCATCTAGCTTATTATGCATCTTCAGATAAAAGGAATTAACATAAATTCTTCTCATGGATTCAAAGATACCTAATTTTAATATCTTATGATTAAAAAATTGTTTCTTAAAATATTTTTAAATTGGTAATTGGAATGCTACATTGGAATAAACTGAGTTTCTAACAACTTGGGGTTTTGATACATGAATAAATACTAGTATTTATTACCAGAATGAATATTAAACTGCCAAAACTGGAAACAACCTAGAGGTGCTACACAGCTTTTATGCAAAAAAGCACACTGAAGGCCAGTGAAGCCAGACTGTATCAGAAGAGGAAGCAAGACCATAGGCAGAGAAGCTAGAATGCAGTCAGGGTAGGCATGGCTGACCTTAGCAGGGTCACTCTCCCCTTCCCTGACCTTCTTTGACTTGTGAAGAGGGCACAGTCTCAATGCAAGACTTCACAGTGGAGCAGCAAATCACTCAAAGGGACAGAGAAAGACACAAGTTATTTTGGTGACATTGCTACACTGAAACCTCTGGAAGAGAGAGGGAGAAGCCATGATGCTCCATCACTCTGAGGAAAAAACAAAGCAGGAGAAAAAGTCTTGAAGGCAGCGATTTATAAATAAACAAGATCCACTTGCTACCATTTTTTTTACACAAAGGATGTCTCTGTGCTCAGTTGAAGAAATCCTAAGTAAATATCTTGCCTGTATAAGGCATCAGACCAAATGATCAAATGACCATTTTAGTATAAAAATCTGCGAACCTCTAATTTGATCTGAAATGTTTTATGATAAGATAGATCCAGCTAAATCAAAATTACCAGAAAAGTTGAGGAATGCAGAAGAAAGAAGTTCCTCTACCAAGAAAGAGATTAATAAATAAAATCTCACCTAAAACATTTTTCCAAATGGTAACACCTCCGCCTTTAATGGAACACTGTAACATTTATTAGCTTTTCTGAAATTATGTTCTGAAAATAATTATAATAGTTCCACTAAAATTCTGCTATCAGGATATGATATTTATATGATATTTACACTGGGCCTTCTCTCTCTCTCCAATAATTACGACAATTTTGGCAGATACCATCCTTCCTTTAAAGCTAATAGCAACTTTTGCCCTCTGTGCTTACTACCAGAACTAATAATTTGTGGTAATACATTATATCCATATTAAGTTTGCTTTTATTTTCATGCACATTTAGATTGGCACTGAAATACGATGAATTTCTGTAACAGCATGAGTGAAGACCTCCTATGGTTGGTGATGACTGATGAATGACAACTATAAATTGAAGATCAGTTGTAAAGCTTGCTAGAAAATAAGACTAATAGATGGGAGCCTCTCACTGACTGACAAGCATAACAACACATTTATTACTAGAAACTATGAATTTTTTAACCTTGTGATATTATGAAATATGCTAATTAGATCACCCTATTTAATCACAAGAACTGACCTTAGATGTTTACATACGGAGACAAAAACTAGAAGGTGATTTAGATTTCATTATTAACATGGCAATCCAATTTTCTGGAGAGTCTCTTAAATGTAGCTGCTCCTTCTTTAATGAGAGCTGCAAGTAAACTGAACAGATGACTCTTTCATACAGGTTTGTTTCATCATGCAAATCCGTTTCAAATAGACACCCAGCTAGGGTAAATGAGCTCTTGTTCAATGCAATCACAATATATTCTTGACTAATCCATGTATACTCACATGAAAATGTCATTTTGGAAAGCTGTGTATCTACCGAGCATTTTACACAGAAGGTCTTGTAATCTGAATACCTTTCTGTTTGAATAAAAAAATCCTTTCATGCAGGCAGAGAAATAGTTTAAGAGGCCAGCAAAGGATATAAGGGGATGAAGCAATGAAATAAATGGAAATGAACAAAAGATAACAAATATTCTTCATGCACACTAACATAAACCACTACTGTATTTATGTTGGAATAGCTTTGACACAAGTTTGAGTATTTTGGTTATAGAAACAGTGCTACTACCTGCTACAGCTTAAGCAGTACAGCTTTCTTGTATGAATGTTTGACAGAAAGTAAAATGAATTAAATGTTACAGCCAAATTATCAGCTCTTTATTAAACCCGCAGTAGAACTCAGAATTACATTAACCCATAAAGAAAATAGAGAATAAACTTCAAATAAAAAGTGTCTGAGTATCTTTTATTGAATTCTGTATAAATCAAATAGCAAACCTGATGAAGAGTAAATTAGATTTTAAATTTATCTAAAGCAGTTAATAAAACTGACTTATTTTATACATTTGACGTTTAATCTGAAACTGTTTTCTTTTTTCCTTTCTTTCTTTCAACTTAAGCTAGATGTATCAGAAAGAGATAATATTAATAATACAATTAATTTGCTAGTTACAGGATGTAACGACTTGATCAGTGAGGGTGATAAACAACAGAACAAATGAAGTAATCAGTTGAAAAGAATAAACAGAACTAGTACCTCTATGGCAAAATAAAGAGAACTTGTGATGACCACATGTATTAATAAATAAATTCTTATTCATTTTTATATCCCTTGTCTCCACATGAAAATTTTCCAAACTATTCAAAATAAAAATTTCTGCATATTATGCTAGCAAACCAGTCTGGACACATGTTATTTTATGACTCCAATAAATTCCCTATACAAGAATGAAAAAACTTATGATGCTAAAGATCAAATGAGGATCACAAGTGAAACAAGCTCTACCTAAAATGCAATCCAATTAAAGTATTACATTGCTCTCTTTCGCATAGTTTAATTACACACCCCAGCAAAATTAAAACAGACTTGGTGTTTTAAAGTAAATTTAAACTGAACCTTTAGTGTTTCAATTAACTCTTTAATATTTCACCTGAAATACACACACCAACAGCCTAAAATTATGAAATCTAAGATCACACTATATCCTACTTCTTTAGCAAGAAATGTACTTCTAATATACTCTAATGTATCATACTTACAGAACAAATAGCACCCTAAAAACCAGAGGAAACTATTTTAGTGTTTAAATGCAATTTAGTAATTGTCATTTAATTAGGTCTATTTCCTTTTCTCAAAGGCAAGTTGATACAGCAGATACTATAAAAAGTTACTTTGACCAACTAAAAGAGGCTGTTTATTGACACATGAAGCAAGAGAGAGATGTTGCTGAAGGCAACAACTTTAGATTTTGTTCAATGTTGACAAATTTTAGTTTTGGCAAAAAAATCAAAGTAGTTTTTTTAATTTACAAAATACAGCATGGAGTTTTGATATTCAAACAATTCTAGGATTTCCATCTTCAAAGGAGCTGTATGTGTTTACGAGATATATCTAAACCTCACTTATTTCCACATTCAGTTAAGCATCTTAAATCTGAAAGAGGAATGATGCTTTTTTTCAGAAACTCTTCTATTCAAGTCATGTAACACACAGACAAATGTTAATATACACTCTTTTTTGTAACTCAAACGTAAATTTCTCTATTGCTAGCTGAAAGCTCTCACAATGTTCGAGTGGGATATTTATACTACTCATGAATTATGACTCTACAATTTTTGTTCTCAGAAAATTATACTACATAGTTTTTTGGATGAAATAATAATTTCTTCCACGGTACCAAAAAATCTATATTTATCCGTACCAATCACCTTAAGAACCAAACCAGTGAGAATTTATCAAATCATATAAATTATCCAATGCTACCCTAAGCATTCATCCTGATTGCAAATAGAATAGTAGATTTTCACTCAGTACATTGGTTCCTAAATACTCAGTTCCCTAATTTCATCGCCTGTTTTCAATACTGATGAAAATGCATTACTAATGATGTTTTATGCACTTCCTATATTTTTTAACTGTTTCTACCCTATATTTTATAATCCTCTCCCCCATTACTTCCAAATCTCTACAGCCAGATGAGGATACCCAGAAGAATGAGGTAAAAGTACTTACTAGGGCTATGCAGCAAAGCTAATCTTGGTATAAATTCATTTTCCTAACTGAAATACGGGCTGACTGAGTAAGCTCTTAAAGAAAGGCTCTCTGCTTATGTTTACATATCCACAGTATTATCTATCACAGTTGTAACAGAATGCGTCTTCCCATAGCACTGTCAGACACTTCCACAATGAGCTTTTAATCTGGAACAGACTTTGGAGATGTACCAGAGGTAAGTACGAATAAAGGGTTAAAATGTAGTTATCTCTATTCTGAACAACTGGAAATATTTCAAAGTAAGCTACCAAACCTATATACTAATATCAGGAATACGAACTGAACAAATGCAGGAAAGTTACAGATACCGATCTGTAACTGACATTATTTAACATTTACATCTAGCACAGTTATACTCAACAACACTATTTTTCTTTTTTCAGAAAAATTACAAAATATCAAAATTTAATGCATGAAATTAAATACTTGCAAGCTGTCAGGCAAAACATGTATCTTCATGTTTAAGTTTTCACAGTATTCTTACTCCTTTATTTTATGCATACATAGTGGGTTTTTTACAAAAGGTACTTGGTAGTACTTATTCTGACAACATTATACTGCTAGCTATACATTCTCTCACAAAAACTCTGTCAGTCTGCAAGAACATCTGAGTGACTAAAACCAGTCTCAAAGATTTTGCATCAATCTGAAATACTTACTGTTGCTGGGGAGGCCCGTGTTGTGTGAGTCACTGAATGACCAGAATTCTCCATTGAATTGCCAATCAGATAGGTCCCTCCTGAGCTGCTAATGAGTTGTCCTCCTGTTACGCCCATCTGAATCCCTCCAGTGCCCACCATGCTATGAGACGAGACCACTGTTGTCACCTGTGCAGAACTTCCTTGAGTATCAAAATAATTTCCCCCAGTGTTCTGACTATACATCTGGGTTTCTGTGTAAGGATAAGTTGTTGATCGGCTTCAAGAAAAGAAAACAAAAGGAAAGTACATTATTTGTATTTCATTTAGCTAAGGGAAATGTTATACTTCTAGAAACATATTTGTGATAGCTAAAACCAAATCAAATAAGATTGGGAAACAATCTCTGTCTTCTCAGAGAGTAACACTTGCTCAAGTCAAAGCATTAAATAACTCATTCAGTGTCAATGTTAAACCACGTATCAACCAAACATCACAGAAAACCTGACAGTCTTACATGAAGAAGGAGAAGGGCAATACAACAAAAATTCAAGATACAGCAGATAGAGCTCATCCAATAAGCTTCATCTGTATCAGCTTTTTTTTAAATCTGACAATAAAATTTCGATTTTTAGTCAGATGTTATATATTTTGCATAATGTGCAGACTGTCCAAAACCACAAGAGGTTGAAGCAGCACCAATGTTTCATGCCGTAAGCTGGTGAGTAAATACACCTATCCAGGAACCTAAGGTCAGGCTTTTCTTCCCTTTTGTCTATACAATGTTTAGGGTTTTATCAATATATAGAAAAGGTCCAGGCAATTTACTGCTTGCTACATTTTTTTAATGATGAAAACATACATGAGATTAACTAATTAGTAAACAACAGACCCAGAGATGATGAGTTCTTTACCTTCAGAAAACAATTACTTTTAAATAACTGAAGAACATACAGCACCTTATCAACAACTGAAGTCAAAACTTTTGTTGTTTTAACTATGGCCACAACAGTTTCTCCCTTCCTCTCCATGGACTTTCAGAAACTCCAAACTTTTAGTGTCAAAACCCAAACGTTTCATAAGCCCCATACTACATTTCTCATTCTCACCCCTCTTTAAGCTACTTAAATACTTTTCATTTTATTTTGAGTATTTGAAAAGCCTCAAGATCAGCTCAAGAAATTTGAAGTTAATCCAATAGAAATGCCTTGGATTCTGCTGAAAACAAAGCAAAATAGTTCTTTAAGGGCCTAATGCTCAAACAGACATTTAATCTATTAACCTTTCTTTTGGAAGTTAAAATCAGTTGATCTTTGCATTTCAATAATCTATGTATGTACTTAGGTACCTTTCAGGTCCTGATTATTCTGTTCTCTCAAGCCATGGTGCTTCCTTGTGATACCATTGTGTGTCCTGGGTTGCAGTGTGGGGGGGTATCCATTGGTATGTATTCTATTGTCGTCTCCACAAGGGTAAAAGCAGCAAGTGGGGCAGTGATCGTTACCTCCTCGTCCCCGATAGCCCCCTCAGGGGCTGTCTCTGTTTAATGGGCTGTCTGGGACTCAGAGGATCGGATCTGCGGGACCACTGCTCCGGAGGATTGCAGCCACCATTCAATCAGACTACTATCAACGCCCTGACTGACAGGGTGCCGGGTTACTTGCTGACTGTCAGGGGCTTCTTTCTTTTGGGTTGTTAATTTGTTCTGTTATATTTGTTGTTGGGTTTTTTTGTGTTTCATATTAAATTGTACTTCTGACTCAGAGTCTCTCACTGCTTTGCTTTCAAACCAGCACATTGTGATATTATAGAATCACGGAATATTGTTTAGCTTAGAACCATAGAATGGAATCACAGAATTGTGAACGCTTTGAAAAAACATAGAGTCTAACCATTAACCAAACACTTCCATCTTAACCACTAAATCATGTCCCAGGTGCCACATCTAGACATTTTGTGAAGATTTCCAGGGATGGTTATGCTTTCAAACCAGCACATTGTGATATTATAGAATCACGGAATATTGTTTAGCTTAGAACCATAGAATGGAATCACAGAATTGTGAACGCTTTGAAAAAACATAGAGTCTAACCATTAACCAAACACTTCCATCTTAACCACTAAATCATGTCCCAGGTGCCACATCTAGACATTTTGTGAAGATTTCCAGGGATGGTTACTTCACAACTTCTCCAGACAGCCTGTTTCAATGCCTGATCACCCTTTTCACTAAGTAAGTTTTTCCTAATATCCAAGCTAAATCTCCCCGGTGCACCTTGAGGTCATTTATCTTGTGACAAGCATGATGGCCACTAGCAGACATCTGTCTTTACACAATGTGAACAGTGCTACACAGCAGAGGACAAATTAGGAGTTCTGATGCAAGCGCAGGGAAAACAGTTCATGGGAATGATCATCAAGTGATTAAACACCTGAAATTCTCCCAAAGGAGGAAAGAAAAACTTGTTATCAGGTACGGAAAGAACCGAAAAGATAAGGCCATTGTTGACAGCAAAAATAGACACCATTAGACGAAATACGCTGTCCAAAAGACGCGAGAAAAAAAGTCATTTGCAGAAGTGGAACTGAATCTTTGAAGCAATGCAAACCCTAGAGAGCACTCCAAATTTCAAAGAAAACTGAGTCAGACTTAGTGTGGGAATAGGAAAAGAAAAATGAAATGTTTGCTTTTACCTTGTTTAGACCTGTGTACCATGCATAGTCTCTAAATAAGGACTGAGCCTTTTATGGTACTTAATTAACTAAGGTATTACTTCCTGTGATAGAAATATGATCAACACTAGATGAAAATAAATATTCAAGGTAGTTATTTATCTGCAGAGCAGCTCATGCTCATGATAGCTACGGTATTGCAACATGTTAGAAAACTTTCATGCACGGAAGTCAAATTCTATCATGCCAGACCACTGTTCTCAAAACCCTGTGGATAATCCTGTGGACCTTCAGCTAATCATGAGTTTCACAGAAACTACAGAGAACAGAATCCCTTGCCTAGCACTGAGAGAAGGCCTTATCACAGCCAATGCATTGGTGCAGACTCTGGAGGTGATGTATCCTAAGCAATGGGAAGAAAAGGAAGTGCCATATACCCTGACACTGTCACAACAGAACATGATACAGCACTCAAATGGTAATGGAGAGGGCTAAATCATCTGTCCCACCCTGTCTCATACAACCTCCTTCCCACAAAGAAACTTACTCCTGTAACCAGAATATTGATTCAGGGCTTTTTAACAACAAATCAAATCTCAGTGAAGCCATAACCTTCTTCCACAAAAGTCTTCCCAGCTGATCTAAGACGAGATGAAAGAACTGGTAAGACGGCAAGTCACAATTTTCTTTCCAATCCCCTTTTACCAAACAAAACTGCTAAACAGAAAAACCAAAACCTATGCTATGAAAGGGCAACTAATGCACTTATAACCAGAGAATGAAAACTCAAAAGAAGCAATTTCCTCTGTAATAGTGTCTAGTTGACCTGATTTATGCATATACATTTTCTCCACATGGACAGCTTAAAATGTATCAAGTCAGGAAAAGCTTTATAAAATTTAGCTAAAATAGAGTTGCAATATTGTATATAAAGAAAATTAATCATTATATTCAAAAATTAAAGCACATATGTTACTGACAGGCATTTATTAGTCACAAAAAAGAACTGAGATCTTCAACACTCAGTCCAAGATCATTTTCCATATGGAAACAAAGCAATAAAAGCATACACAATGCACAATTACAGAAAAGCCTGTAAACCAGGGAACAAAGTAAACGAAAACAGAGGAGCAATCACGTAAGTTATATTCTCAGAACCTGTAAGATAGATAAGGAAACTTTAACTACAGATTTCTAAAAATTCTGATGAAGTACTGCAGACTTATATATAGTTCAAGAAATATGGTATTGCTACTGTTAGGAACATGTCACAGGGTTTGTACTAAATCTGCACGACCTCAAGAGTTGGGTTTGTCAGGCTTCCTTTGTCTAGACTTGTCCAGGCTAGCTGAGAGCTTTGTTCTAGCTTAGCTGTAACAGTAATTGTCATATAATCAGATAAGTGTTACTTAATCTGTTCCCATTTTAGCTCAGCTTTCTATGATTGTGTGCTATGAAACATATAATTAAAATGCTGATGCATTGTAGCAGTCAATAATATCAAATAGCTATTCTGTATAGAACAAACAATCCATGACTCTAGATTAAAAATGTAACAAAGAGAATCATGAGCTGCCATGACAGTATTCAAGAGGTATCCAGCAAATGTAAAACAGACTATGTAAAGCAAATTCAAATGTCATATGGAAATGGAAACTGATTAAGAATGAGTGAGGTATAGACTGTGGTAGAAAACGAAAATAGCTAGGTCACAGTGTGAGTAGAGAGGCCCCAAACACCATCCCAATTGTCCAGGCATAACACTTGTGAAGGTGCTAAGCTGCTTTAACTCTTTCTCAGACAGAAGCCATTCACCTTAGTACACAAAAGGGTAGTAAAAAGGTAAGGAGAAAAAGGGCTAATACTAGTAAGTACTAGGAAAATAACAACTGTATTGATGTAATGCCCCGGTTCGTACAGCAGGTCGAATTATTCTGGGCAGTACACGGGAGAAAAAACTCAGTTCTCAGGAGGTTCAAGAAGAAATAACTTTTACTTATGAACTTTGGGTCACTCGTGTGGAATAAGACATTTGGCAAAAGGAAAATCAGTAAACTTCACAGCCTTCAAACATTGCGCAAACTTTAACTCAGCATACCTTGAGAGAACAAAGCCCTTAGCTGGGCACTGATCACGGCACTTAGCGAGTACTTCAGGGGATACTGCTCAATGCGGCTTATTGCAAAGGAGAAAAGTAGAGAGAAAAAGAGAAAAGTAGAGAGCAAAAGAGAAAAGTAGAGAGAAAAAGAGAAAAGGAGATGAGAAAGAGAGGTAGATAGTCACCATGCGTGGATCCAGCATGGTCTCATCAGCTTCCAACCCAGGGCAGTGGGACATGCACGTGACCCATGTCTCGCTGTCCTTTTATCCGTTCCCCTCGCCCAGGGACTGTCCCAAGGTGAGGTCACACTTGTACCTGTGCTTTAGGCAGAGCCAGGAGCTTCGCCATCATCTTGGGGCTTGCAGCAAGGCCACCACCACTTCAGGGCTCTCATCAGAGCCATGTGGTCACCGAGGCCATTGCAGTGCAGACCTGCAGTTACCTGCTAAGGCTCATGGGGCTGGGGGAGAGCAGCTGCCAAACCCTCCTATGCAGAGCTTGACTTGCTCCCCACTCCCGTTTTCCCAACTGGTTCTTTTGAGCCATGCAACTTTTTCTCCCGTCCCTAGCAATTGATCATAATTATTTTAACATTTAAAATTTTAATTAGAGTAATAGTAAATTCTTGGGTTTGCATACAACGTGTGTTTTGCCAACATAAACCCACACAAACTGTTGTACAGCAAATTGGTGAAGAATGCAGTTAGGGTGCAACAGCAATGGCAATTCTTGGACAATCCTAGCAATAAAACTCCTCTTTGCCACACCAGAATTACCAGGTAAATGGCTACATTTGATTAATACATTACAATTTACATATGAAGAAAGTCCATGTCTAGTATGGGGAGCCAAATGGCTTCTTAATACAGCTGCAGTGATGTGTGGAAACAAACTCTACAGCTTCAAAGAGTTATAAAGCAGGTATGTTTATCGTGGTGCTGGGTGCAAGGGGGATCCACTTGCACACCAACTATCCAAACATTTCAGCAAACAAAGAAATTAGTGCTCATTGGTTACAAGTTACCTAACTCTCATTGATTAGTATTCTATCGATTAGTGATTCTCTCACTTTTTATGCTAATTAGTCCACTTTCGAGTCAGTGGCTTCTTGGGGGGTCTTTCATGGGCGTTTAGGATGGTCTCTGGTGGTCCCATGTGGTTGTTGAAAAGATGCCCATTAGTGTTCTCCCATGAACTTTGAGTCTTGCTTCCATTGATGGTCTTGGCTTAGCTCATTTGCAATTATAAAGTTCCTTATCTTGGTCTTGGCTGACTTCTGCTGGCTCCTCAGCACTCCTCCAGGATGAGCTAGTCACAGAAGAATTTACTTCCTTGGGTGCATTCTTGTCTGAGGCTCCTTGCAACAATTCCCCCTTTGAGACTTACTCAGACAGTTAGTCTTAGCTAAGTTTCTTTCACCAATTAACACTACTCTCTCTTGTAAACCAAATTTCTATACCCTTATCAGCAAACATTCCTCAGAATGAGCTAAATCACATCAGCTAAGCAACTGATGAGCACTATCTGGATGCTGGGGGGGGGGTAGTCCTTGTAAACTCAGTATTATTCCATCATCATCAGCCATATTAAACTCTTCATATATTCTAAACAGGCAGGTAAGCCTGTACATGCCATTGCAGCAACAAGATATGCTTGGCAAGCGAAACTGTTGTCAACTAGAGACAAATCTAGATAACATAGGTCAAATATTCTCATATGACACAATGTATATGACAAGTTGTGGATTACACCCCTTGTATTATCATATTGCCTCTAATTACAATAAAACCAAATAACTTTTAAGTGTAGACAAATTGTGCTATAAAATGCATGGGAAGAATTGTGTTACAGGAGTACAACAGTTACACTTGACAAAGACTGTGAAACCTGACAAACTTCTGAATTTTAAAATGAAGAGGATCACATAACTCATTGCCCATATATATTCTAACTGCATTCTTTGTTGCTATTGTATACAGATTTAAATCACTGCTAGTTTGCAAGTATCTTATTTTAAAATAAAGGACAATCCTTTCACAGAATCATAGAATGGTTTCGGTTGGAAGGGACCTTAACGATCATCTAGTCCAACTCCATTGCAATGGGCAGGGACACCTTCCACTAGACTAGGTTGCTCCAAGCCCCATCCAACCTGGCCTTGAACACTTCCAGGGATGAGACATTCCCAACTTGTCTGAACAACCTGTTCCAGTGCATCATGCCTCACCACCCTCTGAGTAAAGTATTTTCCCTAATATCTAATCTAATCTAAATCTCTCCTCTTCTGGTTTAAAATCATTCCCCCTTGTCCTATTGCTATCTGCCTGTAAAAAGTCCCTCTCTCTCGTTTTTATAAGCCCCCTTTAAGTACTCAAGGGCACAATGAGGTCTCTCAGTCTCGTCTTCGTAGGAAAGGTGCTCCAGCCTGATTATCTTTGTGGGTTCCTCTGGACCTGCTCTAACAGGTCCATGCCTAATACTGAGGACCCCAGACCCAGACACAGCATTCCAGGTGGGGTCTCACAAGAGTGAGATGTCTTTCATCAGACACTCTGTAACATTTATTCCAGAGATGCCTGGACAATTAATTAATGTCTTCATCCTAACTGTGGGTTGCAGACTTCTTATCCCATTGCTAGAGCAGTACTGTTACTTGATAGATTATGAAAGCATCCTGCATCTGACTTTAAGGTAGAATTAAGATTTTGGTTTAGTACAGTCATAAAATAAATGGAACATATAATCATAGGAAGACAACCCAAAATCTGCAGTATAAAAGCATATGGGAAATGTGCTTCACAACATATGGTCTTTAAAAAGTCTGAGTACAAACACAGCCGTGGTCTCATTCCCCATCAATGAAATTACAATCTTTAGATAGGCTAATGTTCCTAAAAGTACTGAACAACAAACTGGCGGTCCACTACACTGTTGCTCACAACAACATGGGTAAATTCTTCTTCTCTAGCAGGGAAAAACAATCTAGATTAGGCTCGCATGCTAACGAGAGCTTTCTTCTTTTATATCCCAATGATTAATTTTGCAGGAACTGACAAAAGAATTCAGATATAGAAACACAATAAAATAAAGGAAACCTAAAGGTTCATACCAGCCAGTTCAGTCACATCTGCTTCTGTTTTTCCCTAGGACTGGAATGTAATATAGTTTTCATACACTGCCAAAAGTGCCAACAGCACATAAAAGAACTTAAAAGTGATAAATGAAAAGAGAAACTCCAATAATAGCCTATTTAAGAATGACCTCTTTTGGAAGCTATCCGTAGACTACCGTGGATGGAATCAAGTTATGATGCCACTGAGTGCTGCTGTATGGGTGTGCTGGGTTTGGTTAGGGGAGACTTACTTTCTTCACAGCAGATGGTATCAACGGTGTTTGCAGCACAGATCCAAAACACAGCCCTACACTAGCTACTCCGAAGAAAATTCTTCTATCCCGGACAAAACCCGTACAACAGGGAAGCCTAATGCATATTTAAAATACTTTGTTTGGCATTTACTAGTGAGAAGAAAACATGCAAGCCAAGAAGTGCTAGTGGAAATGACCAAAGAATGCTGTGAGTGTTAAAATCAGAAGTCTCTGACCCAAATAACGTTGCTCTTTTGAATCATGTTTGGATTACCATCAACAAATAAGCACCTTCAGACAATAAAAAAAGCTTTCTAAATTGCATTTCTTCCTGAAGCAAAAATGGTAAATAAAAAAAGTGAGGTAGAGAAACTCCTTCCCAAGGAACACAATGCTACTTTGATGTCTGAGCCAACTTCAAAGCTGGTGCTGCTCCAAGTCAGGGATTAGACTAGTTAATGTCCAGAGGTCCCATCAAATCTAGATTATTTTTTCCATCTTTATAAGCTTGTGTATTGGATAAAGAAACTTGATGATGGGAAAGTGTGTTCAGGGAACCAGGAAAAGCACAGTTATGCAGAAAAGAGGTCTAAGAAACCACAAAAGGAGACACTGTTACTCTTCTTCCACTGCCTCTCCTCATTCCTTTGGGAAAAAATACTGATTTTATGAAACACAGGATTTAATTTACATTGCTACTTTCTTTAGGCAATAACTACAGCTGTTGCACCTTTCTATCATGTGCCACTAGGACTGCAGCCAGGACAGAAATGATATACTATGTCTTTTGGACAGAACTTACCCATGACCTAGAAGATACTTTTTCAAACAACACAATGCTGTACAGGTAATTTCATGTAAGTGCAACGAAAACTATCACAAGAATTCTATTTATGCAAAACTTCTGCCTTAATAAAAACAAACATTGTGAATTCAATTTTTCATCCAAAAAACTATTCTGACACTAGAAGAAATGTGGTTATTTTTTCTTGCCATCACACTATACACCAGTTAATAGAATCTAACTGAAAATATGTATTTAACTTCACATTTTAATAAACATTCAAATTCCAATCACTTGCCAACTTACATAGCTCCATTAGTGTAGACTGTGTCACTTCCCTCCACATACTGAACCTGGGCTGGGTAGACATGCTGTACCTGTTGCACAGTCTGCACTTGCTGTACCTGCAAACAAGAACACCACAAGTTTGGGATATCGTAAAGACAGATCAGTGCTTCAGCGCACCTAATGGCTTCTAAACACATGGGGTGTCTCTGTTCTCGTAATTACTAAAGGTGTATCACAGCACTAGCAAAGAACGTTACTGTTGTTACACAATATTTGTGCTGTCAGTTTGGTAAATGCAGCCCTAAAGCTCAAGATGCACATTCATGGAGCATACATATCTTCAGTGCCAAAGGCATAACTAACCAGAGAGCATAATAAGGATGAAATGCTGTGTAACTATGCATAGCACCAGGCTGAAGAAATACATTTACTACAGAAGAAAGTATCACTGAATGTTTTTTCTTATGCTTTTTCTTATTCTATTTCAGTCCTAAGTAGTACAAGCCTTAAAATAAAAGCTCAGATGTATTGCAGTAAGTTTAGAAATAAAGGTTCATGTTAAGGTGCTTTAGCTCTTGTTTAACTGGAGTTAAACTACAGTGATACAAGTTTTCTTCCCAATAGTGCTTTGACTGAATGTACAATTATAGACAAAAAATTCTAGTCTGAGTAACCCCTATCCCAGTATATCATCAGCTGTAACAAACTCAGACAAAACTTGGTTTTACATCAATGAGCTAAACAACAAGAGGCAACAAGGCATGGATTATCTTCACATATTGGGGTTGGCTTGCCTGTTCTGCAAAAGGACATACAGTGACATGTCAATTCCTTTGATTCATGTACTATGTAGGAACACTCCAGGTAATGCAAATTTCCTATCCAGTCTCAATTTTTTATCTTATGCAATAGTAAAGATGAAGAATTCCATATTTTTACACCTGCCATCATTTAGAAAAGCTTTATTTTGGTTCAGGAGCAGTCCAGAACCTAAAATATGCAGAAGTACTTAGGAGACTTTAGAGACTGACATAATTTTACCCAAGGAACTGAATCAAGAAAGTGACAATGGACTTATTTAGCAAATCAATTTAACATCAAGTAACTGTTATTTTTCTCAGATCTATTGTAACAAGGCAACTTCAACCTAATCCAGTTGTTTCTACGGACTGCAAACACTGTAATCCCAGATCAGTCTGGGTTTCATGCATTTGATGAATAACCTTCAACAGCTCTTTGACAATAACTCAGCCTACTACCTTCACCTCTGCTACTGTATTTTAAAAAGCTCTGTAAATAAGCAAAGTGTGTATGTGCTTTATTGTGAAACATACATGAAATGTATTATAATGGCTTTTAAGTGTGACTCTAAAAGTGTTTTTTCCTTTTGGGTGACTCAGGTTCTTTGACCTTTAAGCAATGGGACAAGGGGAGTCATTGTAGATCAGCATATTACAGAACACCAAACTGATCTACTTAATCCATACTGTGAGAAAACATCTTGAAAACAGGTTTTCTTCTTAAAACCTGTAATTTGGCACCTGCCATATAATGCATATGTTCCATTTTCTCTCCCAGTACAGTTCTCCAGTACGGTTGGAGAAACACTGCGGAAATGATGCTGTTGTCTGTATGAATTCCATGTTCTCATCCAACTTCTCCCAAAATGCACTTTGTTCCCTATTCACACACATTGAATATGGCTTAGTCCCTATGAAATATAACCCACACCATGTTTCCATTAATAAAGGAAATGGAATTTTCTCCCTGTAATCTGCATAGTGACAAAATGGAACTCTGTGTACAAACACGACATTAAAACACAGAGGTCACATTCCCCTTCTGTACAAAGTACAGTATTCTCCCATTATTCTTGGATACAAGGTGATACCATTTCAAAAACAACAGATTCAGCACAGTGCCAGACCTTTACCATACAACTGGGATGATACTGCAGGGACCAAGTGTATAGAGTGTATCAAAGTTCAGTGTCTATTGGACACAAAGTGAAAAATCCCAAAATGAATTTATGTTCTGACTTGGACCAAACCAACAAAAGTATAATTTACCATAAAATGAAATATTGAAACATGTTAAAATTAAAATTTGCACTGATTAATACAGTATTTTCACCAATTTTTATATAAATCTTTACAAGCACAATATGTAATACTACTAGAAATTTCATGACTGTATATATAATTTTTTTTTTAAATCAACATTTAAGAATGAATATACTACAGTGTTATTAAAACACCTACATTTGAAAATCAAAATGTTTTTCCTTTAACAGTGAAATTCAATACAAAGCAACCAATGAATTGGGTTAATTTTTTGCACTATAGTAATAAAAAAAAGTTTATTAAAAAAGTTCTCTTGCTTCAGCTTCTCTGAAATTCAGAACTGCTGCAGTTAAATTCATTATTTTGCCAAAGGAAGCTGTAGTGACTATACTGTATTGTAATGTATGTAACAATCTTAACATGGAGAAAGTTAAAAGGCAAATATTTTCCCTGTCAAGCTATGACAAATAAAATAAGGAAGGAGCCCTTAGGATAGCTTTGTATATGAAAATTCTGCCATGCTACAATTTTTGCTATATTCTATTTCCAATACTAGTTTTATTTCCTGTTTCACTTCATTTTGGGAAAAATGTTTTATTGAGAATTAAAGGTACTGCCTCTGGATTTGCTTTTCAATCTCCAAAACAGGAAGAAATGAAATGCATACATCTACTCTCTATGAGGACAAAATTATTTGGGAAGAAGTTGGTTATGAGGAAACAAAACACTACAAAAAACTGTGGAAAATGCAAAACAAAAAGAATTTTTCTTCATTTTATTTATCATTTCCTTGCAACTTTCAGTAAGCTGGTAAAGGAACTGTATCCCCGAAGTTCTTTAGTTTTAGAGGCAGAGTGGAAATTGTTGACTATTCTCCCAGTGATCATCAGAGACCTAAACCAAAATGGTGGTCTTGTATTAAAAAATACTCTAATGACTAATTGAGCAGGGCTGAAAATAGAAAACACAATCAATTATTTATTAAAGACTGACAGTAATCAAGTTCAAAAATTGTATGTTCTAGCATGGACTGGTGAACTAGCCATGGTAAATGTCGTTATTGTCTAGCTGGAAAACAACAAATTAACTGACTTGTACTGGAAACAATGAGTTAAGTAGGGCCAGACAGATCTTTCATTTCTCTTGATTCAGTGAGTCTGGCCTGAAATAAGTAACTGGGATAGGATTAGAAGTAAGCAGCAGAAACATTCCAGGACAGCAAGAGGTGAATGAAAACTTATTTCAATATACATGTGTAATTATAATTACTAGATGAAGAGAAAAGAAAAAGCAAAACAAATTATGTTCCTAATTATACTACCTCAGAGGAACAAACGAGGGATCTAATTATATTTTATCTATGAAAAGTTTGTCAATGAAATGAAGTCCATAAAAGCATGCTGAAATGCAGAAACTACACTGAAACATAAAACGTAAGAGAGAACTTTAATTTCTAATAAAACGTGCTTATGTTCAAAGTACCACTAAGCAAAGAGTAAAACAATAGAGCAAAATACATATAAAGATTATTAAATACCATTTTAAAAAGAATATAAAATTATGCACTATGTCTATAGGAACAACTTGGATGTGCAACATTTTCTGTCCTCAGAGATAAAAATACTTTTTGTTCTTCATTAGTATGGATTACTTTTGGCAAGTAACATATAAATAGCACACGCTGTAATATTCTAAGCACATTCATATTTATATAACGGCTAATGTCAGTTCATGATTATGCTTTTCATATGCTAAACATGATTTTGCATTAAGAGCAATTTTGATTAGCAGAAGTCTGCATCTCCAGTTATTGGTACAAAGCTTAGCAAATGCGGTGGCCACTGTGTATGCTGACTACGAAGAAATGCTTTACACAGATTCTGATGCATGGATATACTTTTATAACATAGCTTATATATATACATATGACTATTTTTAATTTTATTTCTCCAGCCTTTCATATTGCATGGCATAAACTGCAAAGTGAGTTTAATTTTGAATCCTTAGTAGCTCACTGCACTGTACTGAAGACTGCCTGTTGGAAAAGCATTAGTGAAAAATCCCTCTATTTGAGGAAACAAAAGACTAAGAAAATTCCTCAGGCTATTAAAATGGAATTTAATTACACCTGCATGTTTTCGGTCTTACTGTTGTTCCTTTTTGCTTACCCTTCCTCTCTATCCCATCTCAAGAGTGACAGCTACCATGTTGCCTGAAACCAGCTGCCACCAGTATCACTTTCACAAGAGGAAAAATCCTGGTTTTCTTCCTATTTGTGGAAAATCACAGCAGACTTTTATAAGCTCCATATTAATACCAGTTATATGGAAATTAGGGATTTGTATTAATTGAAAATATTAAAAGGTACTCCTTTGCTGTTTGCTCAAAAGACAGGATGCTTCAGTATGAACACTGCTGAAGTGAAAAGGCTCTTAGTCCTCCCTTGCACATAATCAGTTTGCTCCTCTTCGGGGCAAAAGTATTTCATTTTGAAAAAGACAGATACTTTGTGAGCATAAAGGAAACCCTGATGACATGAAAACAACTCCAAATTAATGCATGTAGGACATGTCATATAAGTGCGGTTTATATACAGGAACAACAACATGGAAAACAAAGACGATCCTAGGAAAAATGAAATACTATACACTGCTTTAATATTAATTAAAAACACATTCATCTAAAATTGCATTATTCACTGGAAAGTACTAATAAATTACTGCAAATGATACTACAGAAGTTTCAGCTTACACCAAATTGTTGCATATACACAGACATGTTACAGCATCCTTGAATTTAACAAAATCCTAGAAGTGCCTCATTGTTTCAGCAATTTATATTCACAAAATAATATGATCCAAATGTGAATATTCACATACATTTTGGATACAGCTCACGTTATTAAGCATGTCCCCTATAAACCATAATAAAAAATTAAACTGTATCTTATACACCTAACACCTTCTCTCCACACACTGGCAACTTTGAACGTGCAGAAATAATTCCTTCCATCAAAGGAATAGCTTTATGAAAACAGCACTCTTTCTCCTAATTTACTTTTGGCTAATTTGCCCATTCCTACCAAATGCAGATAAAGACAATATTAACTTTAGGCAATTGCAGCCTATACACAGATAATTCCTCAGGGCAGATCACATCGGCAATTTCCTCAATACAGTGATTGTTTCAATATTTGATATTCCTTTTTTTTTTAACTCTACAATTGAAATTACCTATCCCATGTACATTCTTGATCATATTTCCTGCTAACATACCACATCCACGTCTTCACTCTTCCTTTTCTCCTCACCACCCATCCACTTCCACGTTTTGATCACTGCAACACTGTGTGCAATTGATACCTCAACATTCTTGTTGCATCTTTCATCCCTGATCCTTTAGCTTTCCTTTCTGAAACATTATGATGATTCTACAGTCAGTGATAACAGTCAATCAGAAAAATATAATTTAATATATCAACAGGGAAAATTCATCAGCTATAACGACGGAATGAGTGGTCAATGCAAGGGAATACTCAGAAGCTACTCAGAAGCAGCAGTACTAAAGTATGTAAAGCTGATAAGGAACAGTTTTACAAGGCAGGACAACAAAAAATCCTGTTTGCTCTTATGAAGGTATAATCAAACAAGGAAACAAACAGACTGCTTCTGGGCTTCCACGCTTTGACATGAGTGTTACATTAATAAAGGACAACTGGTATAACTTCAGAAAATATACAGATAGGTATATTTACACTACCAAATTGACATCTTGTATCTGAAAAGCTGAAGGATGGGAAGAACAAAGAACGAATCATATAAACTACATCTATTAAACATCTGTCATAGTGAAAGAACATAAAAACCAAACAAATTATCCAGACTGTATTTCATCAAGAAAAAAGGTCTTACACTACACAATCTTACAAAAGAGTTACAGACAAAATCTCCTAAGAGATGCTAAGTTCAAGCATCATACTGTAGTAATGAAACTATGAGGCATTAGAGATAGGGCCTGTGCATCAGGAAAAATATGTTAAGTGAAATGTACGAGACTGTGGAACACATACATAAAAATGCATTGGAATTTTTTAATTCAAGAAATTATGAAGAAATTAATTTAAAGAAAAGCACTCCACTGTCACAGAAATGGCAATATTCAATAAACTATGTCCAGTTCTCATATTGCTGACTCTGAAACTGTGAAGTCAGTTTCTGGTTAAAAACATCAGATGTCACCCAGAGTACCTATCACATGGACAGCGAATTTCTGTGTATTCTGGAAAAGTCTTGGACAGCCATCATGGCTTTCACATTGAAACCCTGTTTTCTACATCCATACTTTGCCCAAAGCTCCCAATTTTCTTCTGCCACCCCTCCTTCCAAAGCTCATAGATGCTGCACAGGTGAGTGACCATCTCATGTAATAGAAATGTGCACTGCGCTGCCTGCTACAAAAGCTTCTCCTTCCCAGGCAAATGCACATTATGAGTTACCCAACCATCACACCACAAATACTTTCATGACATTGTGTATAGATCTGCTGGGACTCAGAGAGGTGTAAAGGACAATGTTTTTCATTTTTACTTTTTTTATGTGTGGAGGACCAGGCATAAGCATATTCTGTCTCAGCCATTCTGACTGGTGTGACAGTAAGATGTGATCGGAGCAGAGGGTCGGCAGGAGTCAGCATGTTCTGAGCCAACCTCCTGCTTCACCTGGAAACTCCTGCTCAGCCTTCTCCTTCTTCCCCCTTGGCTCAAAGGGGTTGTGCACACATGAATGGAATAGCACGAAAAATCTTGTTTGCATAAGAGGTTGTACCAGGTTACTTATGTAAGGGAGCTGATCAGGCCCCCTTGCTTTCTTTTTCCTGCTCTCTCTCTTTCCTCTCTTTGCCTTTCGCTCTCACGCTTTGCCACAGCTTCAGGACATCCACGAGGCAGGACCAACACAGGATCTAAGGTGATTTTCTGTGTTAGTCCCTCCCTTTTCTGTCTTTATTTCAAACTCTCCCCATGCTTTGCTTGGGCAAAGCATGGCTGTCATACTTTACCCCTGTACTCTTCACTGAAGCTTGTTGTGGGAGAGGGGGAAGCATCTGAAGATTGGTCTTGTGGCTTGTTAGCCAGCACCTTTCAGAGGTTTGTTGTGGGAATTGAGAAGTTACTATACTGTACTGTACTGTATAAATTAAGAGCTTGTTATCCTCCACTCTTATGGAATTCTAGTGTATAAATTTAAGAGCTTGTTCACTAATACCTTTCAGGTCTAAATATTGGGTTGTTTGTACAGTTATGGCAACTGTACAATAAAATCTAAAGCTCCCTGACATGTGGTCTGGTGCCTTTGTTCAGCCTGACAAGTATTAATAGCAAACATCAACGCCCCTATGGGTGTGTCATGACAGTATGGCACCTGAACATCCAGACAGATGGAGGAATTATATAGTTAATATCAGAAACATATTCATTATTTAAAGGAAAAAGTGTAAATATTCAGTAACATAAAGTAAATTTTTATGAGCTACCACAGGAATTGCACAATAAACTACAGTTAGAATCATGTATGTGTACTACTGGAGCTTGTCAGATGCTCCAGTTAAGGAATGGATCCTGAAAACAGCTTGTCTTTCTCTGGCTATTTTAATTCCAGCAAAACGAAACTGATAAAAGCAGAGTAAGATTTCATTTAGCAGCCTTGTACAAAATGAAGTTCTTCACTACATTAAAAATATCTATTGTTAGAATTACTTTTTTTTTATGTTCCCAAAACTAACAGCCACGTACCTGTTGTTGAACTGGTACTTGCTGTACTACCTGTGTGGGCACTGCTGCCTGTCCAGCCACAGATGTCTGTAAAGTCACAGTCGAACTTGTATCTGCCCCAGTCTCTGACGTCTGCATTGTGATCTCTGGATAAAATTAAGACACAAAATTAAAAGGTTAGTGCATTATTGTTTTTATTTTGTCACTTATACTAGCACACTAATTTGTCACTTATCTCTATTTAGACATTAAAATTAGCTAATACCAATCTTGGTAGGAGCCAAAAGGTTTTCCCTCTATTAGCATACAAGTTAGTATAAAAGGGGCTTTATGCTACTTTTATCTTACTTATTCTAAAAATACCTTTTGTTTACATATGAAGAAACATTTATCACTTATCTGAGTTTTGTTACTTTAGGAATAGAACCACTCAGAAAAATTAGCAGCAAATCTTCTCACAGCTTGTAAATAACTGATCATCACTCACAACCACATTTTGTCTGGCTTACTGAATTACACCAAAATCTCTACACATTCAAATTCAAAGTCAAACTTCCCGCAGGCCACAGAATGAAGGGCTGTAATATGGAAAGCAAACTCTGAAAAACATTTAGTGAGTCATAGTGAAAAAGCAACTCAGCCTTTCAGTAGAGAGCATTAAAGCAACCACGGTATTTAAAATCTAAGAAGAAACTTTTTGACACTAAAATCAATACATAGTAGATAAATGTCTATGACTGTGGCCCTCACATTTAAAGGGAACAATAGAGATTTGGGTACAATACAGAAATGGTTCAAGAATCAGTGAAAATGCCTGACAAAGAAAACTTATCAGAAAGACAACCAAGGATGACATGCCTCCATAGGAAACACTGACAGGGAGCTGCAGGATTCCTCTATTCTGCACAGGAGAAATGACAATACAGTTGATTGGTGACAAACCAAAATGAATTCAGAATCGTGAACTAGCCTTTTTTTTCCCCTTTCATTTTAAAGTTTTAAATTTTAAGCAGTGGATGATTAACCAGTGAAAATAATAAACAGATGAGGCAAGTTCTTCTTCACCTGCGACCTTCAAAACAGAATACTGTATGTGTCTGTGAAGAACCACAATGAACGAATACAAAGTACTGTTCTGTAAACCAAATATTCTGTGATCAAAAAATTTTACTGCTCTTAACCTCTCAAACTCTACTAGCTATAGAATAATTTCTTAATCTGAGAACCACTATTACTAAAATAATATGGATTATCATGCATACTAAAAGAGGTTTATTTGGGAAAAAACCTATGAATACTTAGAATGTTGGACTTGATGACCTTCAAGGTCTTTTCCAATCTTGATCATTCCATGATTCTAAGTGATTTCTTTTTAACTCCCGAGACCCAGCTGGCTCACGGGGAAAAAAACTAGACTTTAATCCCTACCACCACCGTCATCAAATAACAACCGCCCCTCAGAAAAACCCTGCAATATTTTCTGAGACAAAATCACAAGAACAAATTCAAGGACATATCATTAGATAACAGAAGGAACTAATTACCAAAAAAATTTCAATGCTCTTGCTTGACAACAAAACCACATGTGAAGAGCAGACCTTCCTTGCAAGGCTGAGTTCCACAGCAGCTTAAGCTGATTTAAGGCTAGGTTTCTGCAGTTCCTTCCTCCACCTACCTCTAATACACTTCAAATCCAAATTTATCCAGTGAAAAGTAGGAAACAGGTATTTAAATTTGGGATGGGATAAGGGCTAGGGCCAGGATCTTGCTAACGGGGACAATTCTCGGTTTAAACTTCGAGAAACCATACCTATGGCACCTGACATATTTAACTGATTCTCCTGAAATATTCTGAAAGACTGATAAATTCTTGATCAAACCTATTTCAGATTCATCAACAGATTCTCAGACTTTCACGTGAACTGAACCCTCTACTTCTCCCAGTACACCTGACAAAAATCAGAACATAAAATTAAAAGAAAGGAGTAGAACTTCACAGATTACATTTACATGTTAAAACCCTAACAATTAAAATGGATGTCCAGAGGATAAATATGGAGGAGTTGGAAGCCTCCATGCTGCTAGAAAGCTATGACCTAACTGCCATTAGTGAAAGCAGGTGAGATGAACCCCATGACTGGAGTGCATCAATGACTACAGGTTGTTCAGAAAGGACAGGCAAGGAAGGAGAGGCGAAGAGCGCACTGACTTTGTATGGCAAGGCTTCAGTAGAGGGCAAGGGGGACTACACAGGTGGCTTCTATGAGAAGCTGCCAGAAGCTTCCACTGTGTCTGATGAAGACAATGCCAGCTGCATCCAAGATGGACTCATCGCTGACCAAGGCCAGGCCCATCAGTGACAGCAGTAGCACCTCTGAGATAAGACATTTAAGTAAAGAAGAAAAGGTATGGGGCAGAAGCAAATTGCAGTAATAGAAGAGAGAGAACATGTGAGAGAAACATCCCTGCAAGACACGAAGGCCAATGAAGAAGGAGGGGAGGATGTGCTGCACGTGCTAGAGCAGATTCCCCTTTAGCCTATGGTGATGACCACAGCGAAGCAGGACATGCCCCTGCAGCCCATGAAGGTCCACAGGGGAGAAGAGACCCAACTGCAGCCCATGGAGGACCCCACAGTGGAGCAGATGGATGCCTGAAGGAGGCTATGAACCTGTGGAAAGCCCACGGTGGAGTAGGGTCCTGGCAGGACCTGCTGGACCCGGGGAGAGAGAAGCCTACACTGGAGCAGATGTGCTAGCAGGACTTGTAACCCCACAGGGGCACCCCACACTGGAGCAGTCTACTCCTGAAGGACTACATCCTGTGGAAGTGACCCATGCTGGAGCA